TGAGCCAAACCAGTTAGGGCAAAAGTCTATGATTTTTAACTAAAACTGAAAAACTGTCAGGAACAGAAATGACAGAGGACCGGCCTGTGCTAAGTTGGAGGGGATTAAACGTGATCGTGGATGGGATCCTAGGGGTGGGGAGCGGGGAACACTGTTGACACAGTTGTCAGAATTCAAATGGGGTCTGTGGATTGAAACATCGTTTGAATGGTGATTTCCTGCCAGGGTTGGGTGGAGAATTGTTATGTAGGAGTGTCTGTTTCTGAGAAATACACAGGGAGTATACCGGCATCCTGTCATGTGCAGAACATGATCTCAAACAGCTCTTTTTTTAAGACTAGGGGAAATGGGCCTATCTATAATAATATAAGGGTAATATGCTAATTAGACCAGACGTCTTCCAGAGTCCTTCCTGATGAAGCCAGAGCCTGGGGAAACCAGCGCAGTCCGGGTGCCTGCGGATGGCCTGGGGGAGGGAAGCCTGGGTCCTGAGTGACAGAGGAAAGCCGGTGCTGGGGGGTGGGGGGGAGGAAGAAGAGAGGGAAATGGGGGGTGGTACTCTTGCAGGAATTTTGTGCGTCAGGCCTCTAGTATGTGTATAAATGCCCGTGCACGCGTGCGCGCGCGCGCACGCGCGCGCGCACACACACACACACACACACACACGCACACAATCTACCCTTAGTATTTTCCACTCCATCTTTGCGTACCTGCCTACTGGCTAAGATCTGTAACTCCAAAAATCAAGGCTTGCAGAGCTTCCTCGGCCATTGGGCCATGGCCAGGGTGCAGGAACCCCGCAGACAGACCCAGGGGCACAGTCCCAGCTGAGGTGCAACCGGTGCCCGTTTTCTTGTTCCGGCTCCAGTATGTGAACTGGGGGGTGTTTCGCGGCGGGTTCCGTGGGGCTCTGGCATTCCTGTGCTTCCGGTGGCGTCCGGCTGTGTGGGGTGGCCCAGCTGGTGCTCCAGGGACTGCGGGTTCCCTGAGCCCGAAAAGACTGTGCGGGCAACTACGGAGAAGTGATCGCGTCGGGTAAGCAAGTTCGGGCCGTTTCAACGTTAAGGAATCCACAGTGCCCATCACACACGGTGTCCTTTCAACGGGAACACAGAGCGCGGCCCCGAGCACGCGTGGCGCCGGCTCCCGGGCCCACAGGCCAGCAGCCACGGCCACTTGCGGTGACGCCGTGACGCTGAGGCGACGCCCGGGGTGAGTCCGGCTGCCGCGCCACGTCGGGCTACACCCCACAGTGAAGCCTGCGGTCCGGCACCGCCAGGCGGCTCGGGGAGCAGACAGCCACGTCGGTGCCGCCGCAGTCTCTCTATGCTCCTTCAAACCATCCTCGTTCTTCTGGAAAGGCCTTTTTCTTCCCTCTCGGACGGCCACGCTCCAGCACCCCAGCCTCGCTGACCCCGCGGGCCACTGCCCTGACAGCTCCGTAGCTCGCTGCGGCCCTCCGCGCCGCCCGCCGGCGCCGTCCAGCGCGGCCCGTCCATCTGCGCGGCCGAGGCCGCCCGGCCGCACGCGCTCGCGGCCGCTCCCCCCACCCCGCTTTCCCGCGCCCGGCGGTGGGCCCAGTGCGCCTGCGCGGCGCTGCGTCACGGTGACTGCGCTTCGAGAAGCTGCGCGAATGCTGGAGAAGGGAGGCGGGGCGTCGAGGAGTGGGCGGGCCGACACGGTCGCGACCGGACGGGATTGGTCGGATTTTCGATGACGTTTAGGGGCGCGCCATGAACGGCGGGACGGGATTGGCCTTCCGGAGGTGTCGTCATCGGGGCGCGCGGGAAAGCGGGCGCCCTTGTGGCTCTCGGACGCTTCAGCTGCGAATAAATGGAAGGGACCTGGGAGTGGCGCGATGCTCCGCTCCTTCCCCAGCTCGGCCGGACCTCCGTCACTTCTCCGGCCCAGTTTTCCTCGTCCTTTCGGCGTTGGGCCTCAGAAAAGGACCACCCAGCTCCCCGGCTGCGCCACCTTCGGCACGCCTCCGCGGCCGCACCGGCCTTCGACGAGAGCCAGGTGCGGGGCCGGGGTCCAGCCTGAGGGCGGGCCTGGCGGGAGCAGCGGGGCCGGGCAGGGCCGGGGGCTGGGGGCCGAGGTCCAGCATGAGGGCGGGGCCCGGCGGGAGCAGCGGGGCCGGGACCGGGGCCGCGGGCTGGGGGCTGGGGGCTGGGGGCGGGGCTCGGCACCAGCAGCGGAGCCGGGGCTGGGGCTGGGGCTGGAGTCCGGGGCTGGGGGCGGGGCCCGGCGGGAGCACCGGGGCCAGGGGCCAGGCTGGGGCGGGGCTCAGCGATCGGGGTCCTGGGGTGGGCTCGAGCCCGGGCGCAGGAGCCGCAGCAGGGCTCCGGTTTATGGGGTCGGATTAGCGCGCTAACGTGCCAGCAGAGCTAACCCGGGGCAGGGCTCTCACGCCGCTGCTGCGGTGTCCAGACCGAGGCCGGGCGCTCGGCATTTGCTTCCACCAGAGCGCGGAGCACCCGTTAGGCGTTGCGCGCTGCAACGCAGCGACGGGCAGACCTCGCCCCGCAGGGTTGATAGTAAAGGAAGGTCTGTGCCGGGAAGGGTTCCGGGATCTCGGGAGAGCAGCGGCTCTGTGGCTTGGGTGCGACGTGGTGAGGATGGTGGCAGAGGGAGCGGCACTTTCCCGACCCGAGGGGGCAGCCTAGGAGATGCTCCCGGGGGCGGAGAGGGCGGGCGGGATGAATTCTGGGAGGAACTAGAGTTTTCATAGATGAGGGGGGGACCGGGTCACAGAGGGCGCCTTGGGAGGCTGCTGTGGGCCTCAGTTTTCTCTCCAGCGCAGTGGCTTCACCAATTGTTCCCCCGTTTTCCACGGTGAGTTAACAGCTTGCCTCCTCCCTGATGAACCCCCGAGTGTCGTTAAGGATTAAATTCTAAGTAAAACCCAATGCATAAGAGTTTCAAAGAGCAGCAAGGGACACAGTTGAATCTCTTCGGGAAAGTAGTCAACCAGCGTGATTTCGCACGTGGTAACAGAGGCTCGTTCATGTCAACAAGTGTATCCAGCAGAAGAAATTAATTGTGCCTTAAACGTCACTGAGGCTGCTGTGACCACCCCACACAGCCAGACGCCACCGGAAGCACAGGATTTGGTTAAATCCACAGGCAGCTGTGCAGACTGGAAATGGGAAACCCATGTCCACATGTGTCGCACTTGGGGTTTGCTGAAATCCTGAATTGGGGTTGATTCCAAATGTGCTGGTACTCCTCCCCGCACCCTTCCACCCAAATTTTTCTCTTTGTTGAAAGAAGAATTTGTGAAGCTTTGTCCCCCGAAGGGGATGACAGACATTTATTAACGTTCCCTACAGAGTGTGCTCTCTTCAGCTGCAAGTTACAAACCCTGGTGGCCGCCACCAGCCGCCCTTGCTCGCCTCCTGACGCTCTCATTCCTGTAGGTGCTGCTACCCTCTGCCCGCTGTGCTCTGGACACTCTCTCCTGATGGAGCTCCCTGACTTGGGGAAGCACTGTTCAGAAGAGACCTGCAAGCAGCTAGGTAAGCCTTTAAGAGATGTTACTAGGAAATGGGTAATTTGTTGGCTGTTTTGTAGGGGAGAAATAGCTGTTACATTAGTTGCCAGGACCAAGTGGATAGAAATGTGCTGCTTAAATACTCATGACACCGCATGGGATGGACACCCCTTTGAAAATATAGCTTTATAGATTCTTCAGTGTTGCTGGCACTGTGAAGTTCATGACTCCCACCCCCATTTTTTTCTCATGAGGAGTACCTTAAAAATGTGTTTGACAGTCATAGAGAACTTAGTGGAGGTGAATATATTTCCTATCTTATATAATAAAACCCTAATAATGTGAATTGACTGAAGAGTGGATCCATCGGTTGCTATGATGTATACTGACCACCAGGGGGCAGATGCTCAACGCAGGAGCTGCCATGACTCACACTGGCCATCCTATCTAATAAAAGGATAATATGCAAATTGACCATTACTCCAACACACAATATGGCTGCCCCCAGGTGGTCAAAGATGGCCTCTTGTTTAAAAATAATAAACAGTACTACAGAACGGACCTGGTGCCAACTAACACTCAGCATCCCCCAAGTAGGACACAGGCCCCACCACCACCCGGAGCAACACCAAATCACGGCCAATGCTGCCAAGACCCCCTGGGGCAAAATGCGGCCGGTAGCCCAGGCCAGCCCATCCCAGAAGGGGTTGCTGTGGGTGCTGGGTAATGACATCACATAGCAACGCCTGGCTTCCTCCCTAGTAACTAGCCTCCTTGCAGCTTTCTTCGGCTCAGGAACACAGCTTGCTTATAACCAGGTGCAGATATTTTATAATTTAACCAAATGTGAAGTGTTTGTGTATGTGTTTTTTTTGTTTTTTGTTTTTTTAGATTTTCTTCCATTGAAATGTGATGTATGTAAGCAATATTTCTGTAAAGATCATTTTACCTGCGCTGCGCATAAATGTCCCTTTGCATACAAGAAGGTAATTAATCATGCTTTATTTGAAAGATTTTAGTTCTTGCTCTTTAAAGCTGTGCTGTCCAGGATGGACACCAGCCTCCTGTAGCTAATAACTTGATTACAGTTGAGCAAACCTTAAGGTCAGACTCTCGGTCACACTGGCCCGTTCTGGTGTTGAGTGATCACAGGACAGCGAGGGCTGTGCTCCGAAGGATGGTGTGGCTGCGGAGCCTCCGCCATCGCAAGAAGTTCCGGGCAGCACAGCCCTCGGTACTTCTGCAGGTGGCTCCCAGCCCGTGGTCACCATTTCCGCGTGAGCTTTGTCATCGGGCAGTCAGAAATGGGAGTGACCTGGCGTCACATGCTTCCTTCAGTGCTGGCTGGCGTCTGAGCCTCCAGGGTGTTCCAGGTCACCAGGTGGGGCAGGTGACTCACTCATGTTTACAGGCACTGATGACCAGGCCCAGCTATTCCGTTCATTTGCCGATTTGACCTCCCCTGTCCCTAGGGAGATCAAAGGCAATACTTTATTCATAGACTTACTAGCTGAAGGAGCATTCCTGGGTGACTTTTCAGCTCATCCCCCAGACGTAGGCCCTGTGATTCTGTGATTACCTGTCACCTTCTGGATGTCAGTTGACACTCAGTGTTCTCACTGAGCTGTTTTCTCAGCTCCTGCCCAGGCTCCGAGGTGTTTTGACTGTGTGAGCCGTTGAGCTGCTGGGAGCCGTGTTCTCACAGGTTGTTGGGCATCTGGCTGCTCTTACGCACTGCACTGTCTTGTTTTTTCTCATGTGAGTTTCAGTCGCCTGAGTCTGGAATGTCATCTGTGTTCATTCTTTAGGATACTCAGGTCCCAGTGTGCCCGCTTTGTAGCCGCCCAATCCCAGTAAAGAAGGGGGAGATACCGGATATGGTGGTTGGTGAGCACATGGATGGAGATTGTAGAGGCCGTCCTGGGAAGAAGGAGAAGGTGAGGATCAGTTCCCTGTCAGCTCTATGAGAGTGGGAATGGGCCATTCTTAGGGGAATGGGCCAGTTATTGCACTGAAAATTCATCCTGATAGTTTGTGTACAAACTGAAGCTCTAATAAAGTTAGTGTTGTGAGTGGTGTAGGCTTTTACAGTTAAATAAACATTCTCTGAGTATTTGGGTCTATGTTAGGATTTACTTTCTTTTTTTGTGTATTAATCCTCACCCAAGGATATTTTCCCCCATTGATTTTTAGAGAGACTGGAAGGGAGGAAGGGAGGCGGGGAGAGAGAGGAACACATGGATTGGTTGCCTCCCACATGCGCCCCAATGTCCTGGGATTGAACCTGCATCCAACTTTGTGCCATTGACCAGGAGTCAAACCCGCGATCCTTTGGTGTGCAGCTGGCGCTCTAACCACTGAGCCACCGCCCAGCACAGATTTGCTTTCCTTACGGGAACCTCACACTTTCTCCCAAGACGAAGAGTTAATGTGGTTGTGGAGAGCTGTTCTGTGAGTGCCTGCTTTCCCCCAAGCACCTCTGGGAAGTGCAGAGGACCCGAGTTCTCTCCCGGCAGCTGGTGGTGTCAGTTGTGTCCCTGCTCATGGGGCTTTTTCTTTTAAAGTAATATTTTTAAAAAATATATTTTATTGATTTTTCACAGAGAGGAAGAGAGAGAGAGAGAGAGCTAGAAACATCGATGAGAGAGATACATCGACCAGCTGACTCCTGCACACCCCCCACCGGGGATGTGCCCACAACCAAGATACATGCCCTTGACCGGAATCGAACCCGGGACCTTTCAGTCCGTAGACCGATGCTCTACCACTGAGCCAAACCGGTTTCGACTTCATTGGCATTCTTAACCTTTACACACTCAGAAGTGCCTGGGGCTGTAGATCGATGTTCCAGGTGCCTTCCCGGTGGGGACACCTCCGTGTCTCCTGAGCCCCTGGAGCCAGCAGCTCTCTGCGGGACTGTACGTGATGCTACATGCTTAGCCTCCTTCCCTCCCTTGTCCCCAGCCCCCCTCCCCAGGGTGTGTGTGTTCCTGAGAATACCTCTAATCGCCCTACGGAATCCCAACTAAACAGCTGCCTTTATATTTGTCACTTATTAAAACTTTCTCCTTAATGAGTAGTCATTTTTTATAGTAAAACTAGAGGCCCAGTGCATGAAATTTGTGTACTCAGAGAGGTCCCTCAGACTGGCCTGTGCCATCTCAAAGTCCAGGAGCCCTCAGGGGATGTCCGGCTGCCGGCTTAGCACTGCAGCTGTGAGCCTGTCTTCTGGCGGCGCTCCCCCTGCGGGAGCGCTCTGACCACCAGGGGGCAGCTCCTGTGTTGAGTGTCTACCCCTGGTGGTCAGTGCACATCATAGAGACCAGTTATTCTGCCGTTCAGTCGATTTACATATTATACTTTTACATTCCTAGAAACTAAGAACAGTTTCCAGTTAAATGTTAATGGTCTTACTGTGGGGCTTGTTAAAGAATTGCTTATGGACACAATTGAAGTACTGAAGCAGCTGGCTTTCTCAGGTTTTCACCTTCCGGTGCTCAAAAAAGGGCTGTAAGAAGAAAGAGATGCTGCCCGTGGCTTGTGACCAGTGTCGTGGCAACTTCTGCTTTCAGCACAGACATCCTCTGGATCATAGCTGCACACACGTGAGCAGAGCCGTCGGCATCGCAGGGTGAGAAGTCCCAGCCGGTGGGCTGGCCTGACACCTCCCTGAAAAGGGGAGAGCCAGCTTCCAGCCCCTGGAGGGCGGCGCGCAGCCTGGACCATCGTGCTCTGTCAGGTGGTGGGTGCAGGAGTTGCGTGAAGATCATCTTCATTAAAGCTGGATTCTAAATTAAAGTTGGAGTCTAGCTGTGTTGTTTCCTGGGCTGCCAAGACTCACTAACCGGTGGCTCAAACAACAGGATTCCTGTTGAGCTGAGATGAGGTGCTTGGGCTGGTTCCCCTGGAGGTTCTGAGGGAGACTGTGCCAGCCTCTCCCCTCACTGCCCGAGGGTGCGGTCGGTCTTGGTGTCCTTGGTTTGCAACAACATCAGCCCGTCTGTCTTCCCGTTCACAGGGTGCGCCCCCTTTTATGGACCCAGTGGTATTGACCTAGGGTCCCCCCCATCCACCAGGAGCTCATCCTACCTAGTCCCATCTTCAGCGGCCCTGCATCCAGGAGAGGTCACATTCTCAGGCTCTGAGGGTTAGGGCTTCGCTACCATTTGGGACACAATTGAACCCATTCAGTAGTGTTGTTAACCAGAGGACTTCGACTTCTTTTGGTCAGTGAAGCATCTGCCTGTCGAATAGAGATGGGAGTTCCTTCCTTTTTAGTTACATTTGCTTGTTACACTCTGGTCTGCGGGCTCTGGGCTGACTGCTGCCCTCATTGCCTGAGGCTCTGGGGGAAGCTGGGAAGGGGTTGGCTGACTGGGTCTGACCTCTCTGCAGGTGTCAGCTGTGAGAGCCTCTGAGTCTGAACCACCGGGCCCCTTGAACACGCGGCCCTCCTCTCGGCTGGCTCAGTGACTCGGGTGTTAGTCCAGATGGCACGTGTGGGTCTAGTTGCTTTGGGGGGGGGGGGGGGGGCAGGCGGGCAGGGCCCTGGGTTATAGGTACAGTTGGTTCCTGAGCATTGTGATCCAGCAGCAATACCTGAGGGTTTCTGCAGCCTCGTGTTCGGCCGATGGGTGATCTGCACATCTCATTAATGGGGACTTGTGTAAGGGAGTCAGTCTTTTGTTCTTTCAGGTCGAAAGTGAGGTGATGATCCTGGGTCTGCTCCAGCTGCAGAGGCTGGTTTGGGGGTCCACTGATGAGAACGTGGTGCTCTGGCACTTTCATATTCGCACAGCACAGGTCTGAGGCTTCACACTTTCCCAGTGAAACATAAATCCTTTGATGAGCGATCCAAGGGCATCACACCCCGAGGCGGGTTAAATTGCTCTCTGCCCTCCCTCCCTCCAGATAAAAGGAATTGGCTTGAAGAGACAAGGGCCGAGCTGTTTGTCAGGCATGACTCTGAAGGAGCTTCCCCACCAAACAGCAGAGAGGTGGTCGCACTCGGCTTCCTCGTAGGCTTCTGTGGTGGACCCTGAGAATTTGCACGTCCAAGTTCCCGGGTAGTGCTGCTGCATCAGAGCTGCTGTGGTCACAGCCGGGACAGAGCACGTGGAAGGCGCCAGCGAGCCATTGACTTGATCCAGTTGTTAGGAAAGCTGTGAGTCTTGTTGGTAACTTGGGATGTGAACTGTACTTTTTGAACTGCAAGCCATGAGATCTGAGCATAGATCAGGTCTCATGAAAATGTCTGTCCAAGTTGAGAAGAAAACACTGGTTCTGAAAGCAATACCATTTTAAAAGTAAAATATCTCACTTAAAAAGTTACATGTTGAAATGTATTTTAGATATGATGGATTAAATGAAATACTAAAGTTTTTTCACTGGTTTCCATTTTGTTTTTCAACTGGCTACCAACAAGACATTTAAAAACAGGTGGGTGGCTGCATTCTGTCAGACAACACCGCTCCTTGATCCGCACACTGAAGGCAGCAGTCCCACACTTCTCAGAATAATCGTCCCCTGCCTCCTGTCTGTCCCTGCCTTCAGATGGGATTGGGGCGTCAGTGTCGCAGAGCTTTCTGGGAGCACCAAGCACCCTGTATGTCCTCGTGCAGGTGCTCCAGGGTGTGCCCCTGCTCCTGTCCCTCCGCAGCACCGAGGTCTTGCTCTCTTCTTTGCATCCACAAGGACCGAGGCTCTGGTCTGCCTTCCTGCCCAGCCTCTCACCAGTGGCTCCAGATAGGACGTGAGGGTGTATGGGGTGTGTGCCCATAGGGTAAGCCCACCACACTGGACACTCACACAGTGCCAGCATTAATATTCTGGAAGTTTGGGGAGTTCCTTTAGTGTCAGGAGTCTGTGCATGTTGAGTAAAGCCTGAGCATTAAGTAGGTTGGTGCTCCATCTCTGCCCAGGGCAGGAAGCTTTTTTTTTGGCGGAGTTGTAAAGCCCAGTGGGAGTTTTTTTGTGTTGTTTTTAAAAATATATTATGGATTTGAGAGAGGAAGGGAGAGGGAGAGATAGCAGAAGGATCAATGATAGAGAATTATTGATTGGTTGCCTCCTGCACACTCCCTGTTGGGGATGGAGCCAGCAATCAAACCCAGATATGACGAGAATCAAACCCAGAACCCTCAGTCCACAGGCAATACTCTACCCACTGAGCCAAACTGGCGAGGGCCCAGTGGGAGCAGTGGAATAGCTCTTTCTGTAGTCATTAACATTGGACACACTCTCACACCTGTGGCCCAGAAATTCTGAGTATGTGCCTTGCAGAGACTCATGCCTGCACATTCCTGTCCAGCCGTCACCCTTCTCAGTTCTCATTTTAGCAGTGGGCCACACAAGCTGTCTTCCTTTCCTCCCATTCTCAGTGTCTGGACTGTTAAATATTTCTAAAAACCAAAGAACGAGGATTTAACTCTGGCATCTACAGTCCGGATGCCTAATTTTACCGGCTTCGAATCAGATACATAACACTCGCAGACATGGCTCTACTGCATTTGAAAACCTTCGCACACGTGTAATGGTGACGTTTAAACATGATACACAGTTTAAATTACGTCATTTATCAAACAATTTATACACATTTGTAACGTTTGAGATGAATCCCCGTGGACCACAACAGGCGTCGTTCATTCATTCAAGTCCCAAGGGGCCAGCACCCGGCGGTCTCCCAGCCTCAGGACAGCCGAGCCCCAGGCCAGAAACCGCGGAGCGGGGCCCACACCCCGCGGCCGCACGAAGGGAGGGGTTGCCTGGCAACTGGCGGCTCCCAGCGACTAGCGGCGTCCAGAGATGACGCTACGGGCCCGCGCCCAGCCCCGCCCCCTGGAAGCCGCCGCTTGCTATTGGTCGGCCGAGAGGCGGAGGCGGGTCTCGTCCAATGGGCGGCGCCGCTGCGGAGGGCGGGACGGCGTTACCTGGGCGCCGGGTCTGCCGGAAGCCGGCGTCGGCGGCCACGCGCAGGTAGGCGAGCGCGGCGGAGTCTCCGAGCCGGGCGGCCGCCGCGTGGGGGCGTGGGCCGGGAGGAGCGCCCGCGGGGCGGCGGGAGGGCCAGGCGGAGCCTCGGCGGCCTGGGGGCGGGCCGCGGGGACCTCGCGCGGCGGTGGCCGGCGGAGCGCCCGGGGCGGCACGCGTGAGGGGACGGGCCCCAGCGGCGCGGAGAGCGAGGTGAGCGCGGGGCGGGCGGGCGGGCGGGAGAGGCCGCACGGGACCTGCAGGCGCCGAGGGCGCCCCTTCTCCGGTGCAGCGGCACTTGGGGTCTTCCCGCGGAGTGAGGCGGTGCAGGGGGGACTGGCGGGCCGGGGGCCTGTCTGTCGGTGTGTCGCTGGGTACTTTTGCCCAGCCTGGAGTTTTCTCGGGCAGGCATTTAAAAAATAGATATTCTCTTGATCTCAGAGAGGAAGGGAGAGACAGACGGAAACATCCACGATGAGAGAAAAACACGCCTCACACTGGGGATCCAGCTTAACCGGGGCGTGTGCCCTAACCAGGAATCGAACCCGTGACCTGCATAGGTCAGGGCCCAACCACTGAGCACAGCGGCAGGGCTCGGGCAGGCATTTTTTGGGAGGATTGGGGTCATTATTGAGGGTGCGGCCTGGAACTGTTTTGTTCGGGTCTTACCCGCTGAGGTGGAGATGGAGTGGAGCCGGGCCAGAGATGGAGTTGGCGCTGGGATGGCGGGGAGCGCCCTTGGGTGGCTGGCTGGGGTGTGAGGGACGGCCCTGGAGGTTTCTCCGGAGAAGGAAGCAGTGGGAGATGTGGGACCTTGTGGTTGTTGATTCCTTGGCAGGGAAGGAAGAGGGTGCGGGAGGCGGGGGTGTGCCCCAGCACCCAAGAACAGCATTGGGCCTTGTGGGAGCCTGCACGGTTTCCATGGTAACGGGAGGACAGGGCCCAAGATGAGGAGCTTGTGGCAGTTGGGTGATAGGGAGTTAAGGTCTTCTGCTGAGAACGGAGGAGGGACAGGGAAGGTTAGGCGAGGTGAACGCAGACCGCTGGTGCTGGGCAGTGGCCGCAGTTGGGAGAAGTGGTGGGATTCCTGGGGGGTATTGGAGATTGCCCTGGGGCTGGGTGGCCCACCAGCCTGGTCCTGGGGACTTCGGCCAGCGGGAGCAGGCCCTGGAGTGGGGGTTTAGCTGGAGAGGAGCTGAGCGTGTGTGTAAGGGCGGGACGAATGATGGTCGTGGACATGCATGTGGACGTGGAATGAAGAGCGAGGAGGATTGCAGAGGTGGTGAGCTGGAAAGAGCCAGAGAGATGGGAGGTGGGCTTGGTGGGTGGGATAACTGGGTTTAGAGTTTGGCTGGAGGGTAGGGGGGACGGAGTAGAGTCAGGGAGCAGAAGAGCAAGCGTTGGAGGCCATTGGTCTAGGTGGGCAAGCCTGAACTTGGAATAGTCCTGCGTCAACGTGGGCAGAGCACAGACACCGCCCTGGGCGCAGGGACTGGCCTCTGACCCTCCCGGAGGGACTCTGTCTTGGGAGCTGGGAGGTGCCCTTCCCCATGACACAGTGGCTGGCCGTTGCCGTGAGAGGGCGCTCTGGGTCCTCCGCATCCTCCCAGAGCTCAGTTATCCCCTGTCTGACTAGCCGGGCGGAAGTGGCATGGCCTGTGATTGGCACTTCCCAAATGGTCAGTGGTGTTGAGCATCTTTCCATGTGCTTATTAGCCATTTAAGTATCTTTGGGAAATTTCATATTCAAATCTCTTTGCCCATTTTTAAATAAGGCTATTTGTCTTTTCTTTTTTTTCCTGAGTTGCAAGAGTTCTCACACATTCTGGATACAGGTCTCTGGTCAGGTATATGACTTGCACGCATTTTCTCCAATTCTGTATGTAGGTTGCCTTTTTATTTTCTTGCATCATTTGCAGCACAAGCCTTTTTTTATTCTGACCAGTCACTCACCTGTTTTTTTCCTTTTGCTGCTTACAGTTTGGTGTCACATCTTAGAAGCTGTTGTCAGGCCATGAAGAGCTACTCCTAGGTTTTCTTTTTAAACTTTGATAGTTGAGCTCTCACAGTTGGGTGTTTTATCCTTTTTGAGTGAATTTTGTGTGTGGCGTGAGGTCCGGTCCGACTCCTTCCTTCTGCATGGGACGTCCAGTTGTCCCAGTCTCTGCTGAAGAGACTGCTCTTTCTCACCGGATGGTCTAAGCCCCTGTCGATAATCCACTAACTATGGGTGTCAGGAAATGTAGTTTTCTCTACAAGCATTGTCTCAGATTCACAAGTTGTCAGCTCTTGGAACTATTAAAAGAAACCTTTCTATAACATGGAAAAGTAGCCCTCCCCCCTTTTAGCAAATATGCTTAGTGATTAAACTTTTTGATGATGACTTGCAGAATGAATATAGATTTCACTTAACTTTTATAGTAACTGTTATGTAAATATTTGCTAAACTTTTCTTATTTCTTCGACAAGGTAATTGCTGGCAGAGTTCTTTGTCTTTTCAAAGCCCTTTTGTCAACAGTCTCTTATTCTTCCCAGGTTTCTTGTCACAGCGCTAATTATGCTTTTCAAGTCTACAGCCTTGAGAAATGCAAGATAAAACTGAGCTGTGAAAAATAGTTCCTGTAACCCCACCCCTTAGGCCAAGGTTTTGTTGATGCCCTTCAGACATTTTCATAGCTGGGGATATATATACAAAATTGGAGCTTTCTCTATTGTTATTTCAGCATTTTCTTAAAAACAAAATTGGACAATACTACAATAGTGTTCTACATTTTTAATTCTATATCTTAACACGTTCTCATTTGTTGTGATTTTTATTTTATTTTTTTTATTTTATTTTTTTTTTAAATATATTTTATTGATTTTGTACAGAGAGGAAGGGATAGAGATAGAGAGTTAGAAACATCGATGAGAGAGAGTCATCGATCAGTTGCCTCTTGCACACCCCCCACTGGGGATATGCCCGCAACCAAGGTACATGCCCTTGACTGGAATCGAACCCGGGTCCCTTCAGTCCCCAAGCCGACGCTCTATCCATTGAGCCAAACCGGTCCCGGCATTTGTTGTGATTTTTAAAAGATGTTTTTATTAATTTCAGAGAGATGAAGAGAGAGAGAAATAGCATTGATGAGAGAGACTGATTGATTGGCTGCCTCCTGCCCTACCCTGCCGGGCGACGCTCAACCACTGAGCCGTACAGCTGGGCCACTGAGATTTTTGGATGGATTCCATTGCACTGGTTTATCCTGCTTGACTTACTCAGGCCTTGGCTGCTCTGTGACGGGGTCATTTCCACTAAAAGGAAGCGATGTGAAATGCACGCGTGTGTCTGCAGGCTGGTCACCACATGGCCACATGACCTCTCTTCCCTCTGCTTTCCGGGCAGGATGGCAGCGCAGAAGAGGAAAGCGCCCGGAGCGCCAGGCACGCCGGAGAGAAAGCGCAGGAAGGTGAAGAAGGCGGCGGCGGCGGCAGCTGCGCCAGGCTCCTCAGAGACCCGTCCTGAGGTGGGTGCAGCTGCGCGACTCACCTGGAGGGACAGGCCGGGGTGCTGCCGGCATCTGGTGGTGCAGAGGATGGCACTGTGACGTGTGGCGCCCGGTGTCCTCGGAAGCTCGTAGGACAGTAATCCCGCCCCTCGGGGTGGGACACATGACTGTCCTTGAGCCACCACACCTGTGTTTCCGGGGTTTGATGCTCCACACGGTGCCGGGTGTGAGGCTGGAGCGGGGCCTGTGGGCTGTGCACGCGGACCAGGGTGGCCTGGCACCCAGGGGAGACCGGAGCGGCCAGGGAGCTGTGCATGGGAATTGGCGTCTACAGTGCCGTATCGAGCAGCGTGTGATCCTCCACGGCAGAGCGTGCCGGGTCTGCGCCACCACGTGCCGAGTGAGATGGTGCTTCGCTGCTGCCGCCCCTCTCGCCCCTGGTGTGGGGCGGTCAGAGCACACGATGCACCAGTCACCGGCGGGCAGGTTTGCTGAGGGTCATGCAGTGCTGGGGGGTAACCACACCAGTGAGCTGGGTGCAGTGCCGTGTGGTCCCGCCTCGGGTCAGTGATCTGATTCCCATGAACTGGACAGCTGGACGCTCTGGAGTGGCCGCGGCTGCTCCCTAACTCCGGCTGGGAAGCCCTCGCTGGGCCAGGGCTTGTTGCTGGCGGCTGTTTGTTCCCTCCACATCCCATTTCAGAGCGGCCAGTGGTGGTGCCCAGGGCTCTTGCCCAGGGCAGGGACAGGCAGCCTCTGTTCAGGACATGGGGAGGGTCATGGCGCAGGGGGACAGGGGCAGGAGAGCAGGCGCGCTGAACCTCGGAGCAGACGTCAGCACGAGAGTGTGTGGCATCGGGGCCGGGAATGGGCTCCCGGGGCCACCGTGAGAGCCTGGAGGTGCTGCAGGGTCTGACGACGGGTCGGGTCGCTCCAGGCCTCATCCCGGGAGGCAGCTCTGCTCTCAGGAGGCAGCGTGCACCAGTTTGGCCGGCCGACTGGGCGCAGAGGGAGGGCAGGGGTGTGCCAAGAAGGTGCCTGGCTTAGCCGGGCTGTGGGGCAAGAAGCCAGGCCAGCACCCAGGACCCCACTGGTCCTGCACCCTGAGGACCTACAAGGTCGGGACTCGTGGAGGCCCAGGCCACTCTCCTGCTCCCACGGCCCTGGGTGAAGAACCCTGCTTTGTGGCCGCCCGCCTGGCTGCGGGTGCAGCCCCCCAGTCCTTGTGCCTCTGGCTCGCTCTTCTCCCCTCTCCACCCGGGTCCCGAGCCCCACATGGAAACTGCTTCCCACAGCCACGCAGGCTCCCGTGGCCCAGCACCACTTCCTGCGGTTCCCTCGGACTGTTCTGTGGCGCTCGCTGTTTTCTGCACCCTCCAGGCTCTGAGTGGATGCACTCGCGCCTGGGGTTGGGTTTTGTCCTCTGAGTCTCAGCTCCCCTCTCCTCCAGACTCCGCTGCCGCCGCGTCCCTCAGGACCCGAGTTACCATTTCTGCTGGGCGAACTGGGAGGGGGCGGTGCTCTTTTTGTTAAAGTGATTGTTTTCATTATTAAAGTTCACATTGGCTAAGAGAAATCTGTAAAGCGAAGGAGAAAAGCAAGCCTGTGGGTGGGTTTCTTCCGTCAGTGGTGCCCAGGTGTGCGCCGGTCTGCATCTCAGGGGCGTCCCGGGCCTTCGGTTCAGTGCCTGCCAGGTGCCAGGGGTCAGCGCAGAAGGCAGCCCAGCGGGAGAGAGCCCTACCGAGGCCGACGTAGCCCCAACTGGCCAGCAGGGGGCGCAGGGGCTGCTGATTTCCCCACAGGAGCTGGGGCCAGCAGGTCCGCGACTTGGAGGGTTTGGGGTGGGTCTCAGTTGGGTGCAGGGGCTTGTGTCCTCGAGACCCTTCCTGTCTGGTGAGGCCCGCCTCCCAGGGAGAGGAGACGGTGTTCCCGAGAACGCACCCTGCTCTCCGCTGACGGCACCGCTTCTCCGCTTGCTGGTTCTCCTGGGAAGTGGGGAAGAGGGCCGGCATTGCCGCGGGACAGCGGGCACCTCGGCACTGGGAGCGTGTGGAAAAGGACCGGCCCCCTGCCCGCCCTGTCCTGGAAGGACCTCTGGAATCCCGTGGAGAGGGGAGACGCCTCTGTCCCCGGGGCCCCGTGTTGTCCTCCGGAAATGTCTGGCTGGAAGGCCTGCCGGTCCCCGTGTGGTCACTTCCCACAGCACCAGCGCCGGGACCTGCGCCGGGTGGCCGAAGGCTCCCACACGGTATCACTTCATTGCCCCGGGGGTCCCCTAGTTAGAGTCTGCTCCCCAGCTCGGCCCGGCTGTCTGCTCATCTGGCTGGTGCAGCGTCCTCCAGGTCCATGCTGCGCCCCTGTGCTGCTCCGGTCCTGAGGGCCCTGCTCACTTCTCGGTTGGCTCAGCTCACTGGCCGTTAACATGCACTGGCCCTTGCGAGCCTGGACTAGGGAGAGGTGGGTTCGGGGAGGCCTCAGCGTCGCCGTGGTAACCATCTTGCAGAGGACTGAGAGCGAGAACCATTGGATGGGCTTCCAGGCCCCTGAGCGTGATGCCCTCCAGCAGGCCTCAGCATGCGCCCTGCCCTCCCCTTCCCGTTGCTGCTTTTTTAAGTGTGTGTTTATTGATTTCAGAGGTGGAAGAAGGGAGAGGGATAGAGAGAGAGAAACATTGTTGAAAGAGAGTCATCAATCGGCTGCCTCCTGCACGCCCTTACTGGGATGGAGCCCACAACCCAGGTATGTGCCTGACCCAGAATGGAATCAGTGATCTCTTGGTTCATGGGTCAACGCTAACCACTGAGCACCACCAGTCGGGCCTCAGGCGTCTTGAACCTTCCTCGTGAGCCTGAGCTTAGGGGCAGTACAGAACCAGGTCCTGTCCTGTCCAGAACCGGTCTCTTCCTTGAATGAAAGGGTTGCAAGGAGCAAATGTTCCATGAACACGATTTAGACGGGCTGCTGGCTCTAGTGTGTTTGGGGGTTAGGAGGGAGGGCTGGTGCTGGGTGACCTATTTCGCCCTCCCACCCCGCCCCGAGCACATGGGCAGCATGTCTGTTCTGCCCCAGACGCCCAGCCCCCGAGGAAGACAGCGCAGCTCCTGTCACCCTCGAGCTTGTCAAGGGTCTGTGCTTGGCGGTCGCCTGGGCCGAGCACCCTCTGCTGCTGTGAATAGCCTCGCTGCCTGGGGCGGCCTCAGGGCTCCTCCCGATCTCAGTCCCGGGAATCCCTGGTGGTGGCCAAGCACTCGCTCTTCCACTTACAAAGGCTTCTCAACGCTGGCCCTCAGCCGCCCTGATGCCGAGGGCCGAGGTGCCGGTGCTGGTGCTCAGGGAGACTGGGTCGCCTGCATAGTCACCTGTCCGGCCATAACGGAGGGACTCTCAGTTTCCTGGCTCCGGTTACCTGGAGACACCTGCCCCGGCTCCGTCAGGCACGGCTGAGAATTGTGGGCAGTGGGTGCAGCACCACGTAAGGAAGCACCGCTCTCTTGGCGTGGCTGTCCACTGAGTGGCGGGGAGGAGGCCCGAGGTGGGCCAGGCCGTCCGTCCTGCGTGTGGAGTGCGTCTGGCCCACAGTGACAGGGAACGTCTGGAAGGACAATAACCCCTTTCCCCCCAGAACGTGGTGGGCGCTCGCCGTCGCCAGTTGGTCCCCGTGCTCCCCGTGTGGTGGGCTGGGCTGAGCCGGTGGTGGTTGTAGAGCACATGTGTCAAACACAAGGCCCGCGGGCCAAATCCGTCCCGCCAGGCCTTGCAGTGTGGCCCGCACCGCGCTGTCATCACTGCACTCCGCTGCGTTTCCATCACAGTGACAGTTTATGACTGTTCAGTAAACCATTCGGCCCGCGATTTAGGCTGGATTTTAGATTTTGGCCCCTTCTCTGATTGAGTTCGACACCCCTATTGTAGAGGAAGGAAGCAGGTGCCTCTCTTGGGCGGCGTTTGTCATCTTGGAAACCCAGCCAGTTACGTGGACACGAAGCTGCAGGCTCTTGCAAAGCAGCCGAGAGGCCGTGAACTCGATGCCGGGGCCTCGGCCCGAGCCAGACGCCCTCACACAGTGGTGTTGCCACAGAAACGTTGCTGGTCTGGCAGGGGCTCTGTCCTGGCGGGGGAGGGGCTGCTAGTCCTGCCCAGCAGCTCCCTGGGAGCCGGGGCTGTCTTCTCTTCGCAGTTTCCTCTCCCATTGTTTTTGTTTTCTACTCTGACTGCTGAGCACGGGCTGCCAGGCCTGGAATTGTAACTGACAGACGTGGGCTGGGCGGGACCAGGGACAAGGAGCCAAGTGCGAGACCAGGGTCAGTGATTTCCCTGCAGTTGTAGCCATTGCCCTGGAAACAGTGTCCATATCCTGGGATGTACCCCTGGAGGGGTGGCAGGGCGGGGCCTGCACCCCGAGTCTGATGAATCTGATGCCTGACCCCAGGGGCCCCGCTCCACAACCCCGTCCTTTACTCTAAGGCAGCTGGGCCTGCCTGTCTGCAGGCTTCTGGCTGTGCTAACTTGTGGGAGAAGGGCTGTATAGTTCACACTTCAGAGCTCACTAGTGAAACAGTTTCAGTCACTTGTAACAAGGGCCCAGGGCCTAGATTCGTGCACAAAGTAAATTAGTTAGAAGAAAAACTTTAACTTCGCTATTCACCCTTTCTCTATAATAGAAGTGTCAACCAAATTCACCATCAACAATGACAGATCGAAACACACGTGTTCGATTGGCACCAGCAAGAGCTTTATATGTATCATGCATGTGTGAGACAATTTAGCTTTTTATAGATATAGGGCAAACTTGCTTATTTAGCTGCTTTCTGATGCAGCTAAACTTTTTCCAGCCCAGTGAAGCACTCCAACTTCTTTTTCAGGTAATTGTCAGCAACACAGCAGGAAATATTGACAACGAAGCAGATTATTACTGTAGATCACTCAGAGAGAACAAAGGGTGAAATATTTAACTGCAGTAGTGTCTGACTATATTCTGTGCAGTGACAAAAAACCTGAAGTCATTTTCAAGGTCTACC